ATAGCTCGACCGGAAGCCCCGATCACAGGACACTCCTGTGGCGCTGCAAAGAAGTGGGGCCGTGGGGCAAACGGGGTTGTGGGGTTTTTTTAAACTAAAGTGTGTGCATGCTCCGTTGGGTGCTTGTGTGCATCCGTGGAGACTTGGAGGGAAAAACCTTTTTAGAGGGGAACTACCACCGGAAACGCGATCAGACGCCCACCCATGCCCCGCGGTTTCTAGTTTTTTTTCCCACATCTTCGGAGTGAAGCCTCGCATGAGCCACGGGAGCTCTATGCTTCCCAGATGTGGCGGTGAGATCACGCCCGGAAAATCCGCCTATCTTCCATCTCTCTAGCATGCCTAATGCTCCGTGTGACCGCAGCCTATATATGTTAAATGCAGAGCCTACTTCTCTAACATGCGTGCATACTTTGCTATCTAAGTAATTGGTTTAGGTCATTATTTTCTCTTATTACTGGTAAGGCAGCTTAAAGGAGGCAACTAATGAACACTAACCCATCCAGTATCCTATCCTTGTATCTGTTAAACATTTTCATTATGCTGTATGGTAATTTAGTGCTCACCCTCTAACTATATGTATGGACTGGTAATTTCCATTTCAATGTAGCTGAAGAAGTGTGCTTGCACACAAAAGCTTACGCCTTGAGTAAAACTTTGTTGGTCTTAACCGATAAGAATTTTGAAAGACGTTCCATTTGAAATCAGAATGAAGAGAAAGGAATATAAAGGGTTGACCATGTTCTTACAAAATCATCAAGTGAGTTACAGATGGTTGGTGCCAGAAGGACTGGTCTTTAAATTTAAAGACAGAAGAGAAAAGATAGACTCTTTAAAGCTCAAGACTTTTTGAAGAGGCACGCCAGTTCAGAAGAAGAAGCAGAACTTGCCAAGTGGATGCCAGGAGCCAGCGAAGAAGACAGCAGCTCTGAGGGAGAGGTGAAGGATGAGGAAGACAAAGGAGCGACGGGCATAAAGTATAATTTGAGAGACAAAAAAGGGAAAGGCTCCAAGACCTAACTGTTTTGGACTATGCTGTAAAAGTAATTCTAACCCCAAAAGGACATTACTAACATATTAATTACTTTTTTGAAAACTAAAGAAGAAAAAGAAGATCACCTATTCAGAGAAAAAAACTTTGACTTTAACTTTAAATTAGAAAAGTTTAATTTACTAATATGTAACATCACTCAACACTTTTCTTTATCCCTCTATATCCCCTCGCTATCTTTCTAAGTAAAGCGAAATTCTCTCCTTTTTAGGAGAGGGAAATAAAACTTTATATACAAAAATAAAACTTTGTTGGTCTTAAAAGTGCCACTGGACTCAAACTTTGTTTGCTGCTTCAGACCAACATGGCTACTCACCTTAATCCATCCAGTATCCCTAATTCCCACATCAGTTATAGTATAGCTATAACAGAGCAGAAGAACCTAGAGATGCTGACTCATCTGCCAGATCTGATCACATTTCATGCAATTCCCTTTGGTAATCTGGTCTGACAGGCTTGCCCTAATTAGCTCCAAACATAATTTCATATATGAATGATGAACAACTGTATGCAAGAACATTTTTATTTCTATTACCTCACTATGCATACCAAATATTAATTTAAGATAGAAACATTGTCTTTTTGATGTGTCTATCTTCAATTACTCACATTAGCATTTATGCCCTTAAATAAGCCTATTGCACAGACAGCTCTGTAATACAGTCAGGCCAAAACAGGCTTTTTATTAAGGGGTTGAGATCTTAATACTATTTTTAATTTTCTAAACAAACAAATAAATAGAGGAGCAAAGGAAAGTGTGGTAGAAACCTGAAGAAACAGCCAAGTATGTATGGTGTGTTTGTGTGTTAAATGGCATCAAGTTGCTTCTGACTTATGGAGAACCTATGAATTAATGTCCTCCAAAACGTCCTATCATTAACACCCATTCTCAGGTCTTGCAAACTAAGGGCCGTGGCTTCCTTGATTGAGTCAATCCATCTCATCTTGGGTCTTCCTCTTGTCCTAGCATTGTTGCCTTTTCCAGTGAGTCTTGTCTTCTCATAACATTACCAAAGTACGATAGCCTCAGTTTAGTCATTTTAGCGTCTAGGGAGAGTTCAGGATTGATTTGATCTAAAACCCAATGATTTGCCTTTTTGGCGGTCCATGGTATCCATAAAGCTCTCCTCCAACACCACATTTCAAAAGAATCAACTTTCTCCAACACCAGATTTCAAAAGATTCAACTGAGCCCGTTCGCGGGGAGGGCGGGGTATAAATACAAAAATAAATAAATAAATTTCTTCCTGTCAGCTTTCTTCATTGTCCAACTTTCATACCTATACATAGTGATGGGGAATACTATGGCATGAATTAATTTGATCTTGGTTGCCAGTAACACTTCCTTACACTTCCTAGCTCCTTCATGGCTGCCATCCCCAGTCTCAATCTCCTTCTGATTTCTCGGATACAGTCTCCCTTTTGTCTTCTTGATTTTCAGTTGTAATCCTGCTTTGGCACTTTCTGCTTTAACCGTCATCATAGTCTGTATCACACAGTAGCCAGGAGGTCCACCAGTGGGGCCAGGACATTAGAAGGGTTGACCAGGCACTGCCACGGGGAGGGGGCAGGGCTCACAGGGGCGCGCGGGAAGGGGGGGGAGTTGTGCGCATGAAAAGAAGTTGTTGCATTCGCGCGCACTGTGGCGCCTCTAAAGTTATTAGCCCGCCTCCCTCCCCCTTCACATTCTCTGTAGTATTCACTCCATAAGACGCACACACTCCCCCCCACTTTTTTTTGGGGGGGGAAGTGCGTCTTACGGAGCGAAAAATACGGTAAGTTGACATGTAAAGGTGAACAATAACCAGTACATTTCAGAAACATGAGCATCACCTAAACTAAATTACACCAGATGGTACAGATTCAGTTCCAGTACTTAAAGGAATATATTGCTACAACTTAGTGAAAGTTTGTGTGCATTCTTAGTTCCTAATTCTAAACTATCCCCATATTTCTGTACTTTTTTTCTTGAAGTCCAAAGATATTTTCTATAGTCAACTGATGTCTATTCCTAGATAACACTTTTATTATTCTAAGACATAAGATCTTGGATTCACCTGAGTTTTGCAACAGATTAATGTAGCTGTCATTTTTTCATAAATTAATTTCATTTGCTACTATTTAAAACAGTTCTGCAGTTATAACCATTATGAACTACCTGAAGATTTAGCAACGTCACACGATCGAACATAGGATTCCAGGCAGAATAATGACTCTCCATTTCCACACTCATAAAATGGATTGTAGGCACACTTTCTGCTATCATGAGGATCTTATTAATTTATTTACTTCATTAATATCCCACTTTTCTCCCTAGCAAGGAACCAAAATGCCTTACAGTTTTCTCCCCTTCTCCATTTTATCCTCACAATAACCCTGTGAGGTAAATTAGGTTGAGTGTATGTGACAGGGCCAAGGTCTTCTGGCAAGCTTCCAAGTGCCCGCCAAATCCTGGTCTGGCACTCTACCCACTACAACATGTTGTCTTTATTTATCCATTTTATTTATTAATTCCATTTGTATCCCGCCTTCCCCGTGAACAGGCTCAGGGTGGCTTACAGTAATCAGTACAAGGTACCATGAAATCCACACAAATACATTTTAAACATTTTAAAACAGGTAATCATAAAGTGCTAATAGTACTGAACATTCCATCACTAATTGAGATGGCATGATATATGATGTAACAGCAGACGATTTCAGACTAACTAATGTTCTGGTGTCACACGATGGTATGGCTCAGTCTCAAAGCTGGTGCCGGCCCATAACCACAGATGTTGGTGGTAGTGGTGAGGGCAGCTCCTGATTGAAAGCCTGGTGGAAGAGCTCCGTCTTGCAGGCCCTGCGGAACTGTAGAAGATCCTGCAGGGCCCTGATCTCTTCCGGGAGCTCCTTCCACCAGTATGGAGCCGCCACTGAAAAGGCCCTGGCCCTAGTAGCAGCGAGCCTGGCATCCTTAGGGCCCGGGAGGGTCAAACAGTGTTGTGACCCCGACCGTAGTGCTCTCTAGGGTATATATGGGGAAAGGCGGTCCCTCAGGTATGTCAGACCCTGGCCATATAGGGCTTTAAAGGTGAGTACCAGCACCTTGAATTCGGTATGCTATTGGCAGCCAGTGCAGTGCCTTCAGCACAGGCCGGATGTGCTCCCATCTAGGAAGGCCCATCAGAAGCCTGGCTGTGGCATTCTGCACTAGCTGCAGCTTCTGGATTTGCGACAAGGGCAGCCCCATGTAGAGAGCATTACAGTAGTCTAGTCTCGAGGTGACCATCACATGGATCACTGTAGCCAGGTCATCGCGGTCGAGGAAGGGAACCAACGGCTGAATCAGCCGAAGGTAGTAAAATGCTGACTTAGCAGTGGCTGCTACCTGGGCCTCCATTGTTGAGGAGGTATCCAGGAGCACTCCCAAACTCCTAACCACTGGTGCTGGCGCTAACGGTGCCCCATCGAAGGTTGGGAGTGGGATCCCTAGCCCCGAACCGCCCCGACTCAGGCACAGAACCTCCGTCTTCGCTGGGTTCACCTTCAGCCGGCTCAGTCTAAGCCAACCAGCCACGGCTTGCAGTGCCTGGTCCAGATCTTCCAGTCTGGAGTCCGACTGGCCACCCAACAATGGATAGAGCTGGGTGTCATCAGCGTACTAGTGACATCCCAGCCCATACCTCCGAGCAATCTGGGCAAGGGAGCGCATGTAGATGTTAAATAACATCGGGGAAAGCACTGCCCCTTGAGGCACTCTGCACTCAAGCGGGTGTCTCCTGGACTGCTGTTCCCCTAGTGCCACCCTTTGTCCCCAACCCTGGAGAAAGGAAGCAAGCTATTGCAAGGCAAGCCCCTGGATCCTGATGTCGGTGAGGTGGTGGGTCAGCAACTGGTGATCAACTGTGTTGAACGCGGCCAACAGGTCCAACAACAGCAGTACTTTAAACATCAAGCATTGCCATACCTGCAATAATATCATCCATTTGTTCCAGAGCAGCTTCAAGCATGTGACTAGCATCAGAAGCCATGGTTTTCTGACCTGGTTTTGCTCAGGCCTGTTTTTCTTGGCCTAATAAGGAGGGAGAGAAGTTAGTGCTTATTAAAATACCGACATCACTCTGCCATCAAAGTAATCATATTGTCTCAACTATTATGAGCATCACTTTTTCTTTAGTACTTTTTGTTTCGGTAAGTATACTTCCAATAACCATTATTAGCCTTCCTCCCTGGTTTCGATATTGTTTGTCCATGTCTTTACTGAATTATTTTATCATTATAAGTGCTGTTCTTAATTGTTCAAATGTTTTTATGTACACTGCTTTGTGGACCCTGATTAGATGGAGAGGCAGAAAAGCACAGCTATTCTATTATTGGCAAGTATAAATTTGGCTATGGAATTACCCTGGATGTTACTTTTGTGGAAACATGGCTTTATTGCTGTTTATCGTGTAGTAAGATATGGCTTTCATGGGATTTTAAAAATTGTTGTTCTTCATATACTCACGGAAGAGTAAGAACCACTACTACCCGGGAGCCTGCTACACTTATAAAGAAAACACTTTGGTCTTCACTCGCTGACAGAAAACACTGATGGAAGAAGACAGACAAATCTCCCTGGGGAAGGAGTTCCAAGTTGGTGCCATGACCCAGAAAGCCCTTTGTGGGTTCCCCACCCATCTAGGCTTAGATGGCAGGGTGACTGATCCTGCCCACATCCTCAGACTGCACAAGCTGGAAGGTATCCCACGCAACTGAACAAATCAGCACCCTGGGACCATGTGATCCCATTGCTGCTAATGTAGAGTCCAAGTCAGAATGTATGTAAGAGATTTTATCCACAAAGTGCTTAGCAAAATAATTGCAGTGGGCTGCGGAGCAGTCCACTTCTTCCTGCCAGCGAGGACCCAATAGCACCTGCAGGTCTGCACTGTGTGGATACAATGGTGGTGGAGAAATATGGTTTCTTTGCTGCCACCACCACCATAGAGTATATATTAAAGTGACCTCTAGCCCGTGCCTTGTCGGATTCATCCTGAGTCTTTCTCCACTGTAGCTGTGGCTGTTTCCCCCCCAATCTTTTCATTGTCTGCAGCCCCTCAGTAAACCAGTGGCTGCCTGGGCTCCTTGGCCTGAGAGAGGGCACCTAAGTACAATTATGTCAGTTGCTTGAGTCATTTCCCCATTCCTAGGGTTGCCAAGTGTTCTTACCTTGGCAGTGGGGGAGCCTCACCAGGCTCCGGGAGCTCCTCGGTGGTGCGCGCGCGCGCGCGCGCGCCGCCAGCACATCACAGGAAGTGACATGCTACGTCGCTCACGTTGAGGGCATGGCCCAGATCGTCAGAGGGAAAACCATAGAGTTTTTCCTCCGACAATCTGGACCACGCCCCCAATGTGAGCAACGTGGCTGCGTCACCTCTGGTGACGCAGCCACGCTGCGCTTCGGGGGGCAGAGTTCCCCCCAGGGCCCGATTCCGCGGTGGCGGAAATCGGGCCTCCAAAGCAGGGGTTTCCCCGCCCCCACTTGGCAGCCCTACCCATTCCAGAAGTCAACCAAGGCATCAACAGGAGTGCCAACCATTATCAGCAGGGAAATCCCCTAATGTCAGCTGAAAACCTATTGGATCCACCGGGCTACAGGGGCAGATCATCTTAATTGATCCCCCACCCCTATGGAGTATGTCTAAGCCACAGCAAGCAGTGATCTGCCCATGACTAGGGGACCATCTTCAATCCCCCCACCTTCAGATCACTTTCTTCCTGCCCAGAGCAAAACACCAGATCAAGAGTGTGCTTGTGTTCTCAGATCAAGCCTTTCAAGTTGCAAAAACAGCTCTTGGCATTCACCAAATACATTGCAGGTGATTGTTCAGCAGCACTTCCACAATCTACATGTCAAGGCCCAAGGGCGTAGACTTTCCAATTTCCCGGGGGGGGCCAGGGCTGGGCCAGAGGCATTGCTAAGTCATTAAAAGAACTGGGACCCAATGACATCATAGGGAGGAGCTAGTGACATCACAGGCCATGGTCACTATCTATGAAGGTGGACCCATGCAGGATTTAGGGATGGACTCCCCAGAAATTTCGGGAGGTCTGGGAACTGCCCTAGCAATGACCCTGGGCTGGGCTAACCCCAGGAACAGTTGCCTTCTTAGCACACTGCTTAGAAACTTAGAAAGCCCCACACACACCCCACACTGGAATAAGAACATAATATCAGGCCATACCACATTGCAATAAAGCCCCTACAACTGTATACAGAAATACTGAGCTTCCCTACCATTTGCCACAACAAGAAGAAGAGATTGGATTATACCCCGCCCTTCACTACCCAGGGGAGTCTCAGAGCGGCTTACAAACTCCTTTCCCTTCCCCTCCCCACCACAGACACCCTGTGAGGTAGGAGGGGCTGAGAGAATTCTGACACAAACTGCTCTTTTTCAAGAACGGCTGTGCCAGAGCTTGTGACTGACCCAAGGTCACATCAGCAGGTGCAAGTGGAGGAGTGGGGAACCAAACCCGGTTCTCCCAGATTAGAGTCCGCACACTTAACCACGACACAACCAAGATCAAGACTCCTAAGTGGACCAACAGACAGGCATACACTTGTTTGAGAAACTGAGTATTACATTACAACTCCCCTGGAACATTACA